CAGGATCAGGCTGTGTTACTGGGAGCAAAGGAACAGAGGTGGGTCCTTATAGCAATGGTTCTCAAACTTTAGTGTGCATCAGAATCCCCTGGAGAACTTGTTCAAACACACCCCCACTCCACATCCAGTTCCTGCTTCACTAAGTCACAGATAGAACCAGAGTATTTGTATTTTTCACAGATTCCATGGATGACAATACTGCTGGTCTGGGGAGAAAATTTTGGGGATTGAGAAAGTAACTTGTGCCCTCCACAGAGAGATGGAGCCAGGACACATAAACCAGAAGGGGACATCAGGTAATCTAATCCAATTCCTTCTATTGCTCCTGATTGATTCAATTTAACTATTTGTCCAAAGGCAAGGGAACCCACTGATGGAGCTGAGGCAATTTAGCTTCCAGGATACACATCAGCATGGAGTGGAGATGAATGAGCAAATGGAAAATACCTAGCACTTCTGCCCCAAAATATCTTCGTGTACCTTATCACTGTTTTTCCATGCTACCATATACTTCTATTGTTCTTTTATTCTAAGGTTCAGTGCATATGAATGTGTGTGTATCTATCTATCTATATATTTATTATGTGATCTTACAGCAATCCTAAGGTATAGGCACAATTGATGTTTATGCTCATTTAACAAGACTGAAAATGGCAAAGGGAAAGCATCTTTTAAGAGCTGAGACTGACACAAAATTTTTCTGGGTCCCAACTTGGGGCTCTTGACATCACTTCCCATTTCAGACATGAGTGAATCTGGAAGTGATGCTGGTCCCCCCACTTCAAGCTTCTGGGAAGCTGTCCCTTCCTGCCTTGCTGCCCCATGTGCATTCTCCTCAAGCTGCATTCTTCTTCTTCTTCTGGAAGACGAGGCTCCTTTCCCTGGTGGAGGAGCTCAACCCTCACTCAAGGGTGTACGGTGAATTTCGTCTCCTGCCAGAACAATTTCTTTGTATTAATCATTGGTTTTCAAAGTTTTCAGTGCCAGTACTACTTCAAGTCTCTCTCTCTCTCTCTTTTTTTTTTTTTTGGTGTGTGTGTGTGTAAGAGATTAAGACAGAGTCTCACTAGCCCAGCTGGCCTTAAATTCAAGATCCTCTGTTTTAGCCTAGGAATGCTGGGATTACAGATGTGTACCTCATGCCTGGCTCTACTTCAAATCTTGATTTGCGGGTTTTGAAGAGACCAATAAATACAGCTCTTAGCCTCTCTGAATTCAGAATCTCTTGAGAATGAGCAGAAGAACAGATGGATGGAGATAAAAGCCTCAGCTTTATTCACAGTGAGACCAAAGCAGAGAAACCACAGAGCCGGGCTCACAATCAAACTTCCTAATACTTGTCCCTAGACATTCTGGGGAGCAGGTGTGAGTACACTGGAGGCTGGGGTGGGGGTGGGGATGCATCTGCTGAGAGGACAAGCTAGCCCCAGGAAAATGATACAAAAGCTAAGAGTATGCTCAGCTTCTTCCGTAGTGACCTGGTGAGATGAATCACTTCGTCCTGGGAAAGAACCAAAAGGGGACAACACAAGGAAGGTAAATGCATTTTTCATAAGTCCTGTGAAGTCAAAGTTCATATTCTGCACTATCGCCCTTTTGGAATGTTTCTTTCAACTGATTCACTTCTGATCCCATGATCACTTCCTACAACACTCTGGATCAGGGCCTGTTTGAATGATGAGTTCCCATCCTTTTCTTCTGGGAAGGTCCATGCTTGTCCTATCTGGAGTGTATCTCCTTGTCTTGTCCTTGATCTGGTAGACTATTGGGAAAAGAAATCTTGGGAACTGGATTTTTAAAATGAGTGCATGTGGGAAAATATTCTCCAAGTATGGAGTGGGCTCTGTTTTTGCTTCTACTTATTTCTTAAGCTCCCTGGGGAAAAGGAAGTATTACAGGTCAAATCCCTTTACAAGTAGCTCAACTGGACTGTCTAAATACTTGGTATGGAACAGAATTTTGTTCCATGGATGATGGATTGAACTAGACTGGACATAGCTGGGCTATGGAGGACTTTTGGCTAAACAGAGATTTTCATTGCACAGGTATTTGTTGTAGAGGAATTTATCCAGTAAACACAGAACTCTTCCAACTAATGTTTTTACCAGGCTGATTCAGGCTGGGGAGCAGGACTGGGAAAACATTGTGGACACAGTGTACTGGCTAGAGGTCAAGACAGAGGAAAGAAAACACAGGCAAAGGTCTGTGTGAAATGAGTCTGAGTCACGGAGGGAGAGGGAGAAAATAGCATGTGTCATCCTGAAAAAGATCTTCTTAGGGAAGTTTCTTTTCGTCATAGCTGTTGCTTCTCTTCTGGAGAGCTTCATTTGGCTCTCCTTGCTGCATTTTCAGACTTAAAAGGAAACCACCTTCAAGCTAATTCCTTCCTCTTCTCAAGAAAGAAAATAAAAAGGAAATGGAGAGTTGGATTTCTGAAGAACCTGGGTCTTTACCTTAGAGCCCCTGGGAACCTCTACAACCAGGACTGTAGCTTGTTCCTCTGGCACCCCCAGGGACATAAGAGTGGAACTGTATTCTTTAAAGCCCAAATACAGACCATGGCATTCCCTGCCTACATCTTGGCTCAGCCTGGAGTGCTTCCTGACCAACTTCTTTCTATTTCTCAAATATGGTCACTTCCTATGGACTGTTCTCAATGTATTTTTTGTAAACAAAGTCTTTCTATTTCTATGTGCATTTCTGGTTACTAAGTTCTAGAAGGATTCTGTAGCAAATTGTCAATCAATGTAAGCACTTTACAAGTTCACTAAAATTTTTTGGTTGAAATGTATTTTACATACCAGTAAAGCCTCAACCATTTCGCAAATATATGGTGAATGATTAGTTCCTTTCTTAAGAATCTGAATTCTCACTTTTATTTCCAGCCTCAGGCATCTATGATTCTGCTTTCTCTCTATACATTTGCCTTTTCTGGCCATTTCATACAAATGGAATCATATAAAATTTAGTGTATTGTGACTGGCTTCTTTCAGTTAGTGTAATGTTTACAAGATTCACCCATGTTGTGGCATGTATCAGTGCTTCACTCCTCTTTATGGCTGAATAATAGTCCATTGTATGGCTATACACATTTCGTTTATCCATTCTTCAGATTATGGACATCTGGGTTGTTTCCAGCTTCAGGCTATTGTGAATAATACTGCTATGAAAATTTGTGTACAGTGTGAAGTAAGAATCTAATTTCACTTTTGCATATGGATATCCAATTGTCCCTAAACTATGTGCTGAAAAAGACTGCCCTTTCTCCATTGAAATGTCTTAGCTACTTCATGAAAAAAAAAATACCAATTTTCCAGTTGGGTTACTTCCAAAAAAAATTAATTGTCCAGTTGGGCATGGTGGTACTGGGCCTGTAATCCCAGCACTCAGGAGGTGGAGGCAGGAGGAGCATGAGTTCAAGGCCAGCCTGGGTTACATACCAAGATCCTGCCTCAAAAAAAAAAATTAATTAGCAACAAATGTGTGTGAGTTTATTCTCTGGACTTTCAATTCTGTTTCATGCTTATCTGATACATGCCTATCTTTACACCAATTCTGCACTATCTTGATTACTGGAGATTTATAGTAATTTTTGGCAAATTATGACACTGTTAGAAGGTGCACCACCATCATTCCTTTTGCGTTTTTCATTTAGCAAGCATTCACCCAATGATTCTCAAGGTTTTATAGGTCTTTCATCCTTAGAATGCCCTTCTCCAATATCTCCAATAAATTCTTGTATTGTACTAAGATGCTTCAGAAGGTTCTTCAGTACTATTTTGAAAAGTGGTATCAACAAAGTCTTGGTTTTTCTAAAGCTTATCATGTCTATGTTTAAAACATTCAATTCCCTTTGTTTGAAATTTACTGGACTCAAAAAGATGCCACATCAGAACTGGCACCATAATACTATTTCCACGTATTGTGTTGAGGAAGATATGGTAAGGTAACATGTCCAAAGCCAGGGGAAAGAAAGAAGCTGTTGTCATACTTCCCATTCTCACAGGTTGTTAAAAAAAATTTGAGACAGGGTGTCATGTAGCCCAGACTGGTCTCGAACTCTGCCTCTTTAATGCTGGGATTACAGACGTGCATCACCTCGCCTAGCCCTTTCTTACAGTTTTGCCCAGATTTCTTCTTTTCCTTGTGTCAGCCCATTCTCTGCTATTTATGTTACCACTGTTATTATTACTATTTTTGCGGTACTGGGGTTTGAACTCAGGGCCTACACCTTGAGCCACTCCACCAGTGTTATGATGTTTCCTTCGAGACAGGGTGTCGCGAACCATTTGCCAGAGCTGGTTTTGAACCGCGATCCTCTTAATCTCTGCCTCGTAATTAGGTAGGATTACAGGCGTGAGCCACCGGCGCCCGCCCCCATCATCTTTTATAGCACGTTTAGTCAGCTCCAGGAAAGTGACCTTCAACTGCGAGCTGCAGAGTAGCAGTTGCCGATGGCCTCCGCCCATCTCCCCACATCCCTGGAATAAGTGGGGTGCACAGGAGGCGACCGTGATGCCGAGTCCCGGAAACGCGGGGTCTGGGTCGGGCGGGAGGCGACATGTCCGTGAATTACGGGCACGCAGAGCTTGGGCCGGCTGCGCTGCCTTTCAACACCACGAGTGTGGCGCAGGGACCCGCATGGACTGAAGACTGTCCCTAGTAAGGCAACAGCAGGCGGGAGTACCTCCGGTTGAGAGATAATGGAGTGACTATTACAGCAGCGAGGAGGGAACTGAAGAAAAACCGAGGCCTTCAATAACTAAGCTACCAGATGCGCCCCACCCAGCTTCTCTTTTGGAGGACTCTCAGTTTGCATGGGTTCCGGATCCACTGCCCAACCCACCAACTTCTGGCGCTGTCGCCGTGCGCCGGAAGTCAGTCGCCGTGCGTCGGAAGTCAGTCGCTGTGCGCCGGAAGTCAGTCGCCGTGCGCCGGAAGTCAGCCTCCGTGCCGAGCGTGTGCGTGCTGCGCTTCCTCGCGGGCTTGTGCGCCCTTAGGCGGCCTCACAGGAGAGCGACGCTGTGCGTACGCACGCAGGACTCCAATAAAGTTTTCTTCTTCAAAACACAGCAGGTGCCTATGGAGGCCGGGTAGGCTGCAGGAGCTGGGCATGAAGCCAGGCGGCCACAGGAGAGCCGTCGGCGGCGGCGATGAGCGACATAGTGGAGAAGACGCTGACGGCGTTGCCGGGACTCTTCCTGCAGAACCAGCCGGCGGCAGGGCCCACGGCCGCCAAGACGTCCTTGTCGTCGAGGCTGGGCGGCCTCATCCGCGGCATCACCGCACTCACCTCCAAGCACGTAGGTGCTCGGCGGGACGGGAGGGTCAGGGGCGCGCCGGGGAGGCCCTGGCCGATGGGTGAGATCTCTGTCGCCCCGCTCAGGGACTGTTGGTGTGGCCACTTGTCCTTCTGTCTGTCTGGAGCCTCACTTCCTTGTTCCGAATGACAGCGGGGAGGCCAGGTTTCCAACCTTGGCCCTTGACACTGACTCATTCCGATCCGGGGCTAATTTCTTTTGACTTCTGACCTCAACGTGGAAGAGGAGGGATATTTCACAGGTGCAGATATTCACAGATGGTTTCGCGGATTTGATGCGATGTCAAGCGTGTGTAAACATCCGGTGATATGCAGGTGGCAGTTATTATTGACCTACAGAGTTTCTTCCCCGCCTCAGTTTCTTCCTCTGCCACCTGCAAGATGTCACGCACCTGAACAGATCTGCTACCGAATCTGCTGTTGACACCTTGGGAAGCTTGAGGTTCTTGGGTTAGACCCATGGGTTAAGCATAGAAAAAACAAAATTCTCCCAAGAAGTCAAATGTGTTGAATAAGCCCTTGCCTTGGGTGGCTTCAGGAATGAGTAGTTCTCATAGAAAGTATTAGGGCTGGGGCGTGGTGCAAATGGTAGGGCATTTGCCTAGCATGCAGAAGACCCTGGGTTCAACTCCCAGTACTGAAAAAAAAGGAAGAATAGTAGTTATTAAGTTCCCATAGACCTTTGGTTATTGCACGGATTGTGTAAGATTTTGATTCAAAGCCTTAAGGAGTTTGCACATTAACGTGCGTTGTGTCATAATTTGTCCAACAGATATTTAGAGAACAAGGTTATGTGTTAAGCCCGGAGGAAAATAGCATAAAGTACACTCTTTTTCTCTCAAGGAATTGATCATCTGTTTTGGGCTTAAGCTAAGTATAAACATAACTAGCCAGGTGTTGGGTGGCTCATGCCTATAATCCTAGCTCCTCGGGAGACTGAGATCAGGAAGATCCTGAAGCCAGCCTGGGGATAGTGGTGGGTGGGGAAGTGAGACCCTATTTCAAAAATACCCACCACAAAAAAGGGCTGGTGGAATGGCTCAAGTGATAGAGTGCCTGTCTAGCAAGAAATGAGGCCTCAAATTCAAACCCAGTACTGAAAAAAAGAAAGTATCCAAATGCTCTAAAGATTTAAAAAACTATTTTTTTTGGGGGGGGGGTAAGCTGGCATAAGGTTAATGCTACCCTGGTTAGGGTCTGCTACACATTCCAAAATTATTTTTTGTGAACTTAATACTTTGTCTTCATAGTTTTGTTCTTTGCTAATTTGTATGACATGCTGAATGAGGGTTTTTGTTATTTGTTTTTGATGGGACTGGGATTTGAACTCAGGGCTTCATGCAGTCATTTTTTGGGTATTAAATTGTCTCTTGACAATAGGTATCCAAATGTGGTGGTACTTCACTAATAGTTCTTTTTTAGCCATCTTATGACCACCTAATTAGGATTGTAATTTAAAGATAGAACAGTGTTAGCCCAAAGTGGGGCCGATTTTTAAGTGCTTGAGATAAAATACAGTGCAGACATTGGAAGTAACCACATTGGTGTGTGTGTCTGTGAGATAAAATGTGTGAGAAAGAATGAAGAAAGGGCAGGGAATAAGAATAGAGTTTAAGGGAAAAAGACTTTGTGCTTCCCTGTAGGTCGTGTAAGATATCTCCATGAAGACCTTTTACTTCTTAGGGGAAGTTTTCCAGTATTATAGAGAAATTCTTTCTACTTTTTCTTCACTTTTAATTTTTTGAAACCATTTTCTCCCAAATAGTCTTTAAAAGAGATAGCAACTGTACAAGGAAAAGAGGAATGGTGGGTTAGTCTGGAAATACTTATTCTCTCCAGGGATGATTCTGAGGCTTGGAGAAATGCCTTTAGACAGATCTTAAGCACATGATATTTATAACTTTTATAGCTATGTTTCTTTTTAATTGAAAGCATCATAAGTTGTATTTTCCCCTTTAAACTACTGCTGCAGTTAAAAAGATACTCAAGCATTGAAATATTTTCACTTTTTCAGGAAGAAGAGAAATTAATCCAGCAAGAACTGAACTGTCTGAAAGCAACTATTTCTGCTCCTACTACAACTCCAGTAAGTTTGCATAGTTAGTCCTGCACATTGAATTTGGAATCTGGGCCACTGTCAACTCAACAGTGGCATCTAACTAATGATTTCCAAATTTTACTGTATTATAGTCAAAATCAGTTACAGATGGGAGCAAGTCAGACATCAATTTAGGATTATCATTGACTGGCTGAACTGGAACAAGACTTGCCTGATTATGTCAAGTCAGGACCACTGTGATGATAATTATTAAATGAAATTATCCTACTGGGACTCTAGTACTGATCTTATTATTTTAATGTATACTTGGAAAAGTTAGGAATGTCATGTAACACAGTCTTTTTAGACCTGAAATGATAAATTATTGGTCTTTCTGCTCCGCCCTCCCCCCCCCCCCCGGCACCCCGTGGTGCTAGTGATTGAACATAGGGCTTTATATATAGCTGAACAAATTCTTTATCACTGAACTACATCCCCAGCCACTATTATTGTAGATTTTTTAGTTTTGTGTTGTACCTTTTGGTATATAGAGTGGCTGGCAAGGTAGAATAATTGTTATCTTGCTAGGAAACTGAGTATATTGTACAGAAGCTAAATCAACACCGAATTATTTTTAAGCTTGGTTCCGTATAATTTGTGTTTTCAAACAGCATTCATTCAACAGCTATTTGATGAGTGGCTATCCTATGCAGGCCACTGTGAAGCTATGCACACATAGAGTAGGACTTAGGCTTTTGCTGATCTTAGGATTTTTTTTTATCAACATGTAATAATTGTACATCTTTAAGGGGTAGAGGGTGATAATTCAGTACTTGTATACAATGTGTAATGCCAGTTTTTAAATGAGGTTTTTCTCTAGCCACAGTTGTTCAGCTAGCCTTTAGTGAGCGCCATTTATGTACAAGTCACTGTGGGAATGTTTTACTTCCCGCCAATAAAAATATCAAAGTAATCCTTTTGCTTGAGTACATGATCATGAACATGAATAACACTTGTAAAGTCCAAGAGAATGTATGTATTTCCTTTGTGGTCATAATATGATGTGGATACATAAAACTTAAGATGTTGTTAATCTGATATATCTGTGTTTGTGTATGTGTCTATAATTATGTGGATGTGTATCTGTGTATGTAAAATTTTTGTGCTTCATGGCACTTAATAGAAATGTTAAGCAGAAATTGTTTCTCTTTTTACTTTGTTAGATTTCTGTTTTGTATAATTGGTGTCACTGTATATAATTTTTTCTTGTGATAAGTCATAAACCTGGTATTGAGTAGAAGAGATTAACGGGTTATAGAAGTTAGGGAGTCAGAGTTTGGAAGGAAAATTGTATAATTGTGGCCATCCAGTTTGGGCATGTCTCATTGAGTAGGTGGTCATGTAGAGGTAGGATGACTAGAGAAATTGTACAGAGAATTCCTGCATTGGGGAATGCAATTTTTTCTCTAAATACAAGAGAATAATATGTGCATAATCTTACTTAAATAAAGCTCATAATGACTTTAAAAAACTCTGAGATACTCTTACAAATCCAGGGTTGAAACTTAAATTAATACTTTTGTTCCTAATTGATGTAGAAGTCTTTGAAGAGAGACTTGCAGTATTATTTCAGTTTTTTAAAAGAAATATTTAATAGTCTTAACTAATATGTTAATTAACTTTATTGCTTTAAGCACAAGTGACCTAAATTAAACCTCATTTCCCTAAGATTTACACACATACCCTCACACAAAATATTAAATATATCTTTAAAATATTTGTATTTTACTGTTTCTTAAGTATTTGTGATCTAATACTTCCGTTATTTGCTGGGTGTGGTGGCTCACACCTTTAATCCTAGCTACTTAGGAGGCTGAGATTGGTAGGATCCTGATTTGAGGCCAGCCCTAGAGAACAGTTTGAGAGACCCCATCTCTAATAACCAGAGCAAAATGGATTGGATTGTATATGACACAAGTGGTAAAGAGCTTTCTTTGCAAGCATGATGCCCAGAGTTCAAACCCCAGACCCACCAAGAAAAAAATTCTATAATTTGTTAACCCTACTTTTTTCTTTTATTCTCTTCTACTTAATTTTTAGATATTTAAAAGTCTGATTTTTTTTTTGTTTTGTTTTGTTTTGTTTTACTTTAGACAGGGTCTCACTATGCAGCTCAGGCTGTCTTTGAACTCAAGATCCTCCTGCTTTTACCTTCCAAGTTCTGGGATTACAGGAATGTGCCACCATAATTGGCTAGCTTTTCTCTATTTTGAAACACTTTATATTTTTATCTTTGATGATAATATGCTGAAATTATTGAGAATTCAGATATTGTCTTAATAAAACAGATTTATAGAATCTCTCTGAAATTTGTAGCTTGTATAGCAAATATTGAGAGAGCTCATTAAATATTAAATATTATTGAAGTGGCTATCCAGTTAATGAAATCATGCCTCTTAGTTCATAGGAGTTGCAAGAGTTATCAAAAAAGAGTATCTATAAAGCAGACTGTTGCATATTATATGTAGCACAACAATTCTGACAAAGACTTAGGTGGAATTTGATTTTTTGTTTTTGAGACAGGTTCTTGCTATGTTGCCCATGCTGGTCTTGAGCACCTGGGCTCAAATGACCCTCCTTCTGCAGCCTCCCACCTCATCCTCTTGCATACTTGGAGTACAGGCATGCACTTGACTTGCAATTTGATTTTTATTTATTTTTTTGCAATACTGAGATTTGAACTCAGGACCTCATGCTTGTTAGTCAGGAGCTTTTACCACTTGAGCCACTCTAGCAGCCTTGCAATTTGATTTTTAAATGTGAAAAATATTTTCATTACAGAAATTGTTATTTGTGGGAATTTTAAGGATGTTTTCATTTGACAAAGTGTATTAAAATTGATGTACTGCATTTCAGATGCCAAATAAGATTATTATGGATGAAGTTTTGTCTGAAGACTACATGTTTCATATTATAATCAAATTTTACACTATAGAAACATAGAATTTAAATTAGCTACAGTTGAAAGTGGTGGCTCACACCTATAGTCTTAGCTGTTCAGAGGTGGAGATTGGGAAGCTCTAGGTTTGATGCCAGCCCAGGCAAAAAGTTCACAAGTTCCTCTCTCAATCAATAAAAGCTGGGCATGGTAATACATGCCTGTTATCTCAGCTATGCTGGAAGCAAAAATAGGATCATAGCCCAGGCTGGCCAGGAGATAAATGCATGGCCCTATTAGAAAAATATGTAAAACTAAAAGGGCTGGGGGTGTGGCTGACATGGTAGAGTACCTGCCTGGCAAGCATAAATCCCTGAGTTCAAACCCTATTTCCCTCTCTCCTCAAAAAGAAATAGCTATAGGTGATTTATAGTGTTTCTACCACAAAATATTTGAAATAATTTTACTAAAATTAATACTGTTATAATTAAGATTGAGAGATTTTATTTATATAGTCTGATTTTTATTTATTTTTGGTGGTACTGGGCTTTGTTTGAACTCAGGGCCTCAAACTTGCTAGGCATGCATACCACTTGAGGCACTCCACTAGCCCGAGTGATTTATTTATAATGTATATATATTATGTCTTCAGGGATTAAAGGATTCTCCTGTTAAATGATTATGACACACAAGAAAGTCAAAACATTCCAGTGACTGGATATTTTGTTTTTCAGAAAATGATGAAGGAATGTATGGTGAGACTTATATATTGTGAAATGCTTGGATATGATGCTTCCTTTGGCTATATACATGCAATCAAGTTGGCCCAACAAGGAACCCTCTTAGAAAAAAGAGTAGGTATGTATGTGTTTTAAGACTTTCATACTTAATGTTGTCCTTAAGATTCAACTGCTATAAAAATGAATGACATAGGGGCAGGGGAGACAAATGATCCAAGTGTTGTATGCACATATGAATAATAAAAAAATAAAAAAAAAAAGAAATATGGCACAGTTCAGAAAGGGAAATGCATATGAATGAGGAAAAACAAGGTAGTGATATATATGGGTCTGGTTTTTGTTTGTAAGAAATGAGTTATGTATATGGGATGAATTCCTGAGTGTGAGTGAGACTGTAAAAAATAATAATTTAATAAAAATGTGTTTATACAAACCAGAAAGGAAAAAAAAAAAAGAATGACAGCAGATACAGAGTATGTTTTTAGAACACTGCATTATATTTTCCAAAACTTTAGCACTTCAGAAACTAAAGTGTACAAATGAAGTCACTTTTCCTATTTATAGTATTTTGGAGTTATAGAGATTAAAGACTGCCTGATCTTGTGATAGTGGTTAGATGACTACATATGTTTGTCAAAACTCACAGAACATTGAGCTGAATTCTTAAAATGGGTGAATTTTCTTCTTTCTGTCTTTCCTTTTTTTTTTCTCCTGGTACTGGGATTTGAATTCAGGGCTTTGTGCATAATAGGCAGGCACTGTACTACTTGAGCCATGCCTCCAGCTTCAAATGGGTAAATTTTCTTGTATGTAAATTGTACCTTAAAAAAACTGATTTTAAGAAGTCTGACTAACCTCATCAGTTTAATGGCATTAGTTTTTTTTTTTTTTTTTTAAAGACAGGGTCTCATTATGTAGCCCAGGCTGGTCCTGAGCTGGAAATCCTTCTTCCTCAGCTTACTGAGTGCTGGGATTGCAGGCATGTACCACCACACTCAGCTTTTTTCATTTTTTTGAGACAGGGTTGCACTGCTGTGTAGCCCAGACTGACCTCAAACTTGCAATCTTCCTGCTTCTACCTCCTAAGCGCTGGAATTTTAGGTGTGTACTACCACACCTGACTGAGAAATGTTTCTTTATAAATGAAGCTGAAGACTGAGGATGTAGTCAGTGATAGAGTGCTTGTTCAGCATGCACTAGGCCTGGTTTCAATACACAACACTGACCATAAATAAATAAAATAAAAACGAGAATAGGAGTGGGCTGGTGGATATCAGGGGACTCTAAGAAGGGTTTTCATTCAATGTCCACTTGACAAAACAGCCAATAAAATAAAACCAGAATTCAGTAGAATAATTTTAAATATCCTGCTCTCACTTCTAGAAATGTTAACTATGAAGATTAGAGGTATCTTTTTAAAAATCTTGTCTGTAGCCATCCTTTAGGATTATAAGGCTAAATTCTTTGAAGGACTTAAACCTTCCATTTCATAGATTGTTTTATATCAGAATCCCCAGAAGGAAGGACTATAGAGTAGTATAGGGATGGATGTATTCTTTATTCAGTGGGGATGATAATGTCATATTCTTAAGGACTAGGATTCTTCACAAATTACATTGACCATGCTGTCAGATGATGAAGTGGGAATGGAGAAGTCTCTTCATATGGATTCTGCAATTATATGCACATAACATTCCTCTTGTTGAACCCCAGTCCATCCCAAACACTCTTCTATGTCCTAGATTTATTATATTCTTTTCTCCAAGTAGAATGTTCTGCAGCACCCTTTTTCTACCTTTCCATCTTCCAAATGAAGTTTTAATTCTTCTGAGATCACTCATGTGACTCCTGCCATCTGTTACTTTATGGTAGTATCTTTTCATATATTAGTATCTTGTCTTTTGGTTGGGCACTGGTGGTTGACACCTGTAATCCTAGCTACTTGGGAGGCAGAGAGCAGGAGGATCGTGTTCAAAATCAGCCGGGGCAAATAGTTTGCAGACCCTATCTTGAAAAATACACAACATAAAACAGGGCTGGTGGAGTGGCTCAAGTGGTAGAGTACCTTCCTAGCAAGCGTGAGGCTCTGATTTCAAACCCCAATACTGCCAAAAAAAAAATCTTGGTTTTTAAATTAATTCTGACTTTTTCTTTTTTGTTAAAGTAGTCTTTAAGGCTGGGCATGTGGCAAATGCCTATAATCTAAGTGCTCAACAGGCAGAGGCAGGAGGATAGTGAATTTGAGCCCAACCTGGGCTATGTGGCAAAACCCTATCCCATAAAACAGATAACAACAACAAAGTTAAGTAGTCTTTATCAGTAACTTACTTTTCTTAAAATTTTGATTTTTGTTAAAGGTTATGTAAAAGCAGAATTTTATTCTGCAAGTGTTTTCTTATAGTCTTGCAAAGCCCTTTCTGTAATATTCACTATTTTTAGTTGTCATTCTGCACCTTGAAAATTCATCTCATTGAGGGTTTTCATACATCTGAAGTCTTCCTAATGATGTTGCTCTTTCATCTCCTGAAAGGTTGTATTTCGAGTGCTTTTCTCTTTTGCTTAGTTTTCTTCATAAGAAGTAAATGATCAAAAAAGAACTTTCAAATGTTGTTGAACATTTGGGAAAAGTGACACCAGTTTCATCCCTTTCATTTGCAAGTAAAAGCATGTTAGATGTGAAAAATTCAGTTACGAGAGGTGATAGTGGTGGCAGATGCTAGGTAAAAGTCTGGTATTTCTTTGCTTCCTTCCCATGGAATCTTTTCTTCTCATTTCCTTTACTTTTTTGCTTCTAAATCTTCACTATTTCTCTTCTTTCTAACATTTCTGCTCAATTTTGACCCATTTTTCTTTATTCCCTTTGCATATTATCTTATAGTTGAGAAAATAGTGACACCTTTCTTGGAGACAGCTATTTTGTTAAGGACTTGGAAGACAGATCCAAAGAAATAAACTGTCAATAGTGGGATTTTTGCTTGAGTGGGAAAGATGTTTATTAGCAGAAAGTCTTCTCAAGCACATCATACTTACACAATATATTCAGTATTCGTGGAATATGTGTGATGGGTGCCCACCGTATGCCAGGTGCTACAGTCACATGCAGGTGAATAACTTTCATTGCTTTCATTTTGAGAGTCCCAGCAGTCGGCAGGGAGGGGTGGAGGCAAACACAGCAGTTAGTGTTTACACTATTACTTTGTAATGGCCTTCATGGAGATATGGACCGTATGTTTTCTATGGTGGTGGGGTCATACCTAGGGCCTTGTGCGTGTTAGGTAAGGCCTCTTGCCACTGAGCAGCAGCCCTAGCCCTACTCACCTGCTTTTTCTCATCACTTGCCTCGTTTCCATAGTGATAAGCAGAAAAATTGAAAATAATTGTCAATAAATATGGGTTAGTTGGTGTTATATTTGTACAACTATTGCTGTATACTGCCCTTTAGACTTACTTTATTTTTATCCTTTTGGTTCTGAGAATTGAACCCAAGGTCTTGTACATGCTAAATGCATACATATACCCTTAGCCCCTAACTTCATTTTTAAAATATGTGAAGCGTTATACACCATTACAAAGTTAAGACCTTATGAGGTGGGCTAGAAGTAGGAAAAGTTTGGGGCTCATGTAGGTTGCCTAGGGATGGGTCAGACCACCCTCACCTGGCTGGGAACTACCCATGGCCCTCCCCACTCATTCATTATTGGGTGGGAATCTCCTGGGCCTGCCCTCCTATGAGATAGTGTAGGTTTTAAAGGTACCTGAAAAAGAAAAGCTCTCTCTGCTGGCGGACTCTACCTGTGTCCACTGTGCCCTCTTCTTCTTCCCTTTCTTCACCTTGCAGAATGGGTGACTCCCCTTCATTCAATAAAGCTATTCTACCTCAACCCATCCATGTGCTCTGTTTGGATTCTTTCGTTTGGAGCACAAAAACCAAGATCATCTGATCACACACTGCACTAGCACCATTAACAGTTTTAGGGATCAAACCCAAGGCCTTGCACATAATAGGCCTGAGCTGTACCACTGAGCTACATCCCCAGCCCTGTCTTCTATTTTTTTTGAGACAGGGTGTTGAACTTGCTATGCAACCCAGGCTTGCACTCAAATCTCTCAATCCTCCTGCCTTTGCCTCCCAAGTACTGGGATTACAAGCCTGTACTTCCGTGCTTGGCTCTATAGTAACTTAATTTTTGAATGATGATATGTTTGGCTATAAGATAGAGAATGTTTTCATTCATAATGTAGAGATGTGTACAAGAGAGATAGATGGACTAGGGGCATAGTTTAAGTGGGAGAGCCTTGCGTAGCAAGCTCCAGGGCCTGAGTTCAATCCCTAGTATGGGAGGAAAGGAGGAGGGGAATGGAGGGGAGGAGAGGAGAGAAGGGAGACATTTAATGTCTTTTACAGGACTTTTAAGTTGATACACATCCTATGAAATACATAATTCTGAAAAATTTCAGAATGAAGAACACCTAAAATTTTCCTTACCAAGATTTCTTAACCTCATATTTTGCAATTTGTTTGTATGTTTACCTGTAATAATATGTTTGACATTAAAATTTGAAATATATTATTGCTTTGTTTAACTTCCTATGAAAGGCTTACTTATTTTCGGTAGCTAGTAATGAGACTTTTCCCTTTATTTTTTATAGGTTATTTGGCTGTTTCTTTATTTCTACATGAAAGTCATGAACTGTTACTTCTCCTTGTGAATACAGTGGTAAAGGTAAGACTGTATGTTGGTTAATATGAAGTCTCATATTATTCATGCTGGCATCTGACATTTCTCCTTAGTCATATTGAATTCAATAATTGTGGAAGTAGATGGACTGAGAATGATCTTTTAAGTCATATTCCGTATCTGTAAAATGGTAAAAAATAATAGAATTTAGTGAGTTATGAGGACTAAAAGTGCACTGTGTGAAGTAGTAGCTCCTACTGTTGCTGCTGCTCTTGTTCATATTATTGTCTAGTTTTAGAACACACAGTTGGAATTATAACACAGATCACCAAGCTGTTAGTCAGGTGCTATTCCTGTGCTGTTGTCTTTTCCTCTAGGATCTGTTCTAAAGGAATATAGATGTAAGCTGAATAATTGAAGTTTTTACAATCTAAAAAGTCATTTTAATCAGGCATAGAATACAATTAGGTAACTGAATTTCACAGATAATAAAAACATAACTTAGTCCATACTTATAAAATTTTGTTCTATTAAACTTCTAGCCAAAATTAATAATGAAGTATAATTGAATTGTTTGACTTTTTTCCTGTTTATCCTTATCAGACTTTTTTTGTTTTTTTGATGGTATTAGGGTTTGAACCTAGGAACTTGTGCTTATTAGGCAGGAGCTGTACCACTTGAGGCATGCCTTCAGTCCTTTTGCTTTCATTATTTTTCAAATAGGGTCTCATGTTTATGCCTGGGTGGGCCTGGACATAATCCTCTTATTTATGCTTCCTGTGTAGCTGGGATGACAGGTGTGTACCACCACACCAGCTTTTATTGGGTGAGATGGGCGGGGGGGGGGGGTCTCTTGAATTATTTGCCCTGGCTGGCCTCAATCTGTGATTTTACCAATCTCTCTCTCTCAAGTAGCTAGGATTATAGGTGTGAGCCACTGGTGCCTGGGCTTGTATTAGTCTTTTGATGTGTGAGATTGTGGCTATATCTTTTGAGTTTTAAGTAATTTACTATGTTAAAGTTACTAGTGGCTTAAATTTTTTTCAAACTTTTAAAGCTTGTATTAGTCTTTTGATGTGTGAGATTGTGGCTATATCTTTTGAGTTTTAAGTAATTTACTATGTTAAAGTTACTAGTGGCTTAAATTTTTTTCAAACTTTTAAAAATGTACTTGGAAGTTATATCAGAATGGTTTATAAACGTGCAGATGTAAGAATATATGAACATATATATTTTATTGTGCAAATTCTAGAATTACTTTTAAATTAGTTAATGAGAGAAATTCATAACATTTCTTTTTGTTACTGGTTTGGAAAAGTTTTAAAGGCTGTAATGAAGGAGACGAAACAGTTTCCTTTTGTATCAGTTGCCTTTAGCTATATTTATCTATTGACTCTGTTAGAGCAAATGAAACAAATAGAAGAAGTTCTGTAAACTATGAATAAGTGTGATTGTACAAATTAATTACAAAGCCATGAGAAAATTACTAAGTATATAGGACTGTTGCAATGTTAAGTTTGCCATTGTTATTTTGAAATTTTATAATGAATGTTTCCTTTGCTTAATAATTATGCCAGGACCTGCAGAGCACTAATCTGGTAGAAGTATGCATGGCGCTTACTATTGTCAGCCAGATTTTCCCTCGAGAAATGATTCCAGCTGTTCTCCCATTGATAGAAGACAAACTTCAGCATTCTAAGTAAGTGAATTCTTTTGGCATAGGTAGTTTATAACATATTTCAAAACAAAGTTATAATAAATTTTCTACCATAATAAATTATAATTAGTGCTACTACATAGAGAGTACTCTTTGACTGCCAAATAGTACACAAAATCCCCAATAGAATTGTCCTTATTTTTATGAGGGTTTAGAAAAATGTGCCAGGCGCTGGAGGCTCACACCTATAATCCTAGCTACTCAGGAGGCATAAATCAGGAGTCTCGTGGTTTGAAACTAGCCTGGGCAAATAGTTTGTGAGACCCTATCTCGAAAAACCCTTCACAAAAATATGGCTGGAGGAGTGGCTCAGGGTGAAGGCCTAGAGTTCAAACCCCTGTAACCCACCCCCCGCAAAAAAAAAAAAAAAAAAAAAAAAAAAGAAAGAAAGAAAGAAAAATGTTAGGCAGCTCTCTAAAGTTAAACTGAGAGACAGGCTTAGTATCAGGAATCCTTTTGGCTTTTCTCCTAATTCTGTCACACATAAGTGGTGGCCCTGTTTTCTCTTAGCTATATGGGGGGGTTGGGTGAAGCTTCTTAGTTCTCACAAAGTTGTTTTGAAGATAAAGGGAAATAATAGAAGACCTGAAAAAAAGCTCAAATGCTATGAATGCAAACTTCAGTATATTGTGAAGATGCTTGCTCTCCCATCCTTAGAGTATTTGAAGTGTGCTTGTCCATGATATAAAAAAAGATTTTTAACTGGGTGTGGTAGTTCACATCTATAATCCCAGCAACTCAGGAGGCAAAGGCCAGGGGGATCTCAAGTCCAAGGCCAGTGGAGTTATAAAAATTTTTAATATTAAAAAAGAGACTGTTTAATATTACTAGTTGAAATTACTTACTACTGATTTAAACTTATTGACTATTTTTCCAATTTCTAGAGATGCAGTTTTTAAAAAGGGATGAAGGAATTAAAAAATGTCTTGTTTCAGTTGATTTTTGAAAGTAATATATGCATGTTATTAAAAAGTTCAGTTCCAGGGCTGGGAATGTAGTTGTATTGGAGCACTTTTGCATGCCCTGGAATTGATCCTGAGCACTGCAAAAAAACCAAAAACCAAAAAACACCCAAAATCCATAAGCAGAGAAATATATAACATGGGCAGCCAAAGCCTCTTGAGGAGCCTAGTAGCTCACAGCTATGATCCCAGTTACTCAGGAGGCAGAGATTGGAAGGATCAAAGTTCTGGATAGTCCAGGCAAGAAGGCGGTAAGACCCCCATCTCAACCAATGACTGGATGTGGTGGTATGCCCCTGTCACCCCAGCTATGTGGGAGGCGTAAATAGGAGAATTGCAGTCCAGGCTGGCTCAGGCAAAAACATGAGACCTTATATGGAAGGTAACTAAAGCAAAAAAGACTGGGGACATGGCAGAAGTGGTAGAGTGCCTGCCTAGCAAGTGGGAAGCCCTGAGTTAAAACCCCAATAATGCAAACAAAACCAAAACCAAACAACAGCAAAACAAACAAAAACCTCTTGATCCAGCTACAGTGATGCTGTACACCTATAGTCCTAGTCCTAGGAGGTTGACGCAGGAGGATCGAGACTTCGTGGCCAGCCTAAGCTATATAGTGATACCCTGTCTCAAAAGAACAGATTTTAATTCCTAAAGATAAATACTTTTAATAGTTTAGTATATTAGAATAAAGAAATTAATAATAAATGTCATTCTCTATTTCTTTTTAGATTAAGGCTAATGTGTTGGAGTCATCTGGCCCATAATCTGTTCAAATTAAGTGCCTGATTACTCAGATCGTCTTGTTTAGGTTTAATTTTTTTTTTATCCTTAGGGAGATTATACGAAGAAAAACTGTTCTGGCATTATACAAATTCCATCTCATTGCTCCTAATCAAGTACAACATATCCATATTAAGTTTCGGAAAGCACTTTGTGACAGAGATGTTGGGGTTATGGCTGCTTCTTTGCACATATACCTTCGGTTGATTAAGGTAAGTTGAAAATTTCAGCAATTATTGAGTAGTTACCATTAGGAAAGTAAAACTTTAAAATTAAAAGAAAACTTAGATGTTTCAGTAAAATGCCTAATTAACATTTTAGGCTGTTATTATTGACTTTTTAATAGTATTTTTTACAAATTGTTGATAGCATGAGTTGTAGGCATGTTAAAGATCTAGACTTTATTTAATGCCTGCAATTTTTTCATGTTACTAAAGGAATATAGGTAAGTGGTGGTTATGGAAGGTGATTTAAATGTACAGAATTGTGGTTTTTTTCAAGCAGTGATTCTCTTTTATACAGCTTCATGGGATGCATAACAGCTTGTAGAATGAGGAGAGCTGGTGGGGGTTGTGCCACGTATAGATGGCAGTGTTGACTCCATAATTGATACTGTCTCATACAAGGAAAGAGGGTTGAATGGTATGGTAAAATGCTTTTCTGAATGAAGATGATGGGTTTATACTAATTCAATCTAGTGTATTGCCTGAAACCATTTGTGTTCAAAAGGATTCTTGATCCCTGGTGCCGCCCCCACACAAAAATACACATACACACACACACCTTTGTAGTAGACTTCCTAAATGCCTACTATCACAGAATAAATAGGTTGTTGAACTCAAAATCATGGAACCAAAGCTTTTCTGTTTTAAGCATTGTATTTCAAAATAGTATGGTATAAATTTGGTATTATTTGGGTGTTAATAAAAAAAACTTCGGTATTAAATCTTAATTTCCCTCAACATTTACTAAAATTTGAAAGAATGATTATTTCCTATCCAAAAATTTGCCCTTGACACATTATAAAAATTACAGTGAAGAATCTAGTGTTTTTTGTAAGGAGCACATATGTCATTTTCCCAGTTCAAGAGATTAGTCAGGTAGACAGTCAAGGAATTCTCACTCAGAAATAGAAATATATTTACACACTGTATGGCTAGTCACTTTTTAAATCAGCAGCTCATTGATTTTTAGGGCTTTGAAAATGTAAGTAGTCTTGGCTGTGCTGTTCTGTAAGAATGAATTTAATTCTTTTACAGGAGGTCTTTTGCAAATAGGCCCGGATTTTTTTGTCCAAAGTAGTGGTATTACAGCCCCTTTTCAGTATGCCAATTGTTTTTACTTTATGCTTTAATTGCTAGTATTCACTATTAAGGATTCTATCTAAGATGTAATTATAAGAACTTTTGAAATGTGATTAAACCATGTAGGAAAAACTAAGGAGTGTGGAAGTTTTTCTGGGAATGATTCAACTTTGGATGGGGTAGCCAGAGGAGTTTCATCATGGAAGAAATTACATGTTAGAGCACTTTTTCATTAAATGTAAACATAAACTTCTAAGTGAGCTTATTTTAAGTTAGGTTCTAGCTTTTAACTAGGTCTGTTTTACATTTGATAAGACATTGTTATTAACAGAAAGTTGCTTTTTTTTTGATGTAGGAGAATTCATCTGGATATAAAGACTTGACTGGGAGTTTTGTAACAATTTTAAAGCAAGTAGTTGGAGGAAAGCTCCCAGTAGATTTTAATTACCACAGTGTGCCTGCACCATGGTTACAAATTCAGCTTTTGAGAATACTAGGACTTCTAGGAAAAGATGACCAAAGGTAAACTAAACTATTCTAAGTAAGTTGCTTAATGACCCCATACCATAAGGTAGTGGTAGCTTTAGTCACCTACAGGTTTCATGTTAAACCAGTTTCTTCCAGTGCTTAATTGGCTTACCTAGTGATAAATAAACCAATGTAAGAAGTTGCCAGGGTAATCCTGTCTCTCTGCTTATCTGGAGACTTTCCACTGTGAATGGTAACTCTGAAGTGAAGATTTCTTAATTGTTCTAATAGAGATTGGAAAACTTTTTCTCCACAGGGCCAGTTAATAAATATTTTAGGCTTTGTCAACCATGTTTGTTGGACCTACTCTATTCTGCTCTTGCAGTGTGAAAGCCTGAAGAGAGTACATAAATAAATAACCATAGCTATGTTCCATAAAAAAACCTTTTTATGAACATTAAAACTTGAATTTCATATAATTGCTACATGTCATGAAATACTATTCTTTTGACTTTTTTTTCCCCACCGTTAAAACATGTAAAACTCATTTTTAGCTTGCAGCCATACAAAAACAGGTGTCTGGCCAAACTAGGCCTGTGGGTTGTAGTTTTCAACTCTTGCTCCAGTTGGATGTGAGTGCCTCACTTTTTAAATTCATTTATCTTTTTTTTTTTTTTACTGTTTGTTATTTTATACCCACTGCCTTTATAAGTGCCTGCACCATACAAATATGATATAGGAATATTTGGTGCATTAATTTATTCATTATTTTAGATAAGAATATTTCATAAGATGATGTTTAATTCATTTATCTGAATCACTCTTATCACAGCCAATAACTTATGTTAAACTTTTTTATGGATATAAGTTTTTTTGGGGGGTGGTGGGAGAAGGTAACTTTAAATTTTGCCATACTTTTTTAAACTTGAAAACTGTCAAAGTTCCAGGAATAGTACAAGGAAGTCCTTTGTATAGTAGTCAAGACCTACATCATCAATTATGTCTACTTGCTTTGTCATTCTGACTCTTTCCATGTACATGTGCATATTTTAAAACTTCTTTGAACTGTTCAAGATCAAGTTCAATTATATTTTAGTTCCTTTGAGAACAAGGACCTTGACTTGAGTCCCTGATGTATTCTGTCATAAGAAATTATTTGCTAATCTGTGTTCTGACATTGATGTCCTGTAGTAGGGTACATTTATATTCTAATTTTTTTAGCCTAGTTTTACAAAGGGACCAACCTCTAGGCTGTTGCTCTTAGGAATGGCTCATCAGCCTCATGTCAGCATCCATCTCCCCATGGGCTAATTGGGTTCTTTCACTTTTGATATTACCATGTTAATTTTTTTTACTTTTTTTTCTGTGGTGGTATCAGAGTTTGAACTCAGGGCCTTGAGCTTGCTAGGCAGATGTCTACCTCTTGAGCTACTCTCTCAGCTCTCTTAACTTTTTTCTATGTTTATGATTTTTCTATGTTTATGAATCTCAGCCCCTCTGGAAACCTGAAATGCAAAACTGGAGGTGATAGAGCAGACTCCTATTTGTATTTTATTTTATATAACACCACCCCATCCTAATACAGAGCTCTAGTTTGAGGTCACTGGAATCGTTTTTAAAACCATTAATTTAATATTGATGTATTATATCTTACTTGTCTAAGAAAGACTTAATGCTGTCATATGTTGTCAAGAAGTAAGTTTGGAGGCATTTAGTGAATTTATTTACTAAATTCATTACGTCATTATTATCCTTTTCTTGGATGGATTTGGAGACTATATATAAAGATGAGTGAGAGATTGTCCTTATGTTCAAAAGTTCACTGAAATAGCAACCAGTCTCAAATCAATATAGAAAGAGTAGAACTCTTGTAATGCTGTAGGACATAACGATTATTTTCTCCTTTGTTGTCCCAACTTTGAGATTTTATTTTATTTTTTTCTTTTGTTATTCATATGTGCATACAAGGCTTGGTTCATTTCTCCCCCCTGCCCCCACCCCCTCCCTTACCACCCACTCCGCCCCCTCCCTCTCCCCCCCACCCCCTCAATACCCAGCAGAAACTATTTTGCCCTTATTTCTAATTTTGTTGTAGAGAGAGTATAAGCAATAATAGGAAGGAACAAGGGTTTTTGCTGGTTGAGATAAGGATAGCTATACAGGGCATTGACTCACATTGATTTCCTGTGCGTGGGTTTTACCTTCTAGGTTAATTCTTTTTGATCTAACCTTTTCTCTAGTTCCTGTTCCCCTTTTCCTATTGGCCTCAGTTGCTTTTAAGGTATCTGCTTTAGTTTCTCTGCGTTAAGGGCAACAAATGCTAGCTAACTTTTTAGGTGTCTTACCTATCCTCACCCCTTCCTTGTGTGCTCTTGCTTTTATCATGTGCTCAGTGTCCAATCCCCTTGTTGTGTTTGCCCTTGATCTAATGTCCACATATGAGGGAGAACATACGATTTTTGGTCTTTTGGGCCAGGCTAACCTCACTCAGAATGATGTTCCATCCATTTACCAGCGAATGATAACATTTCGTTCTTCTTCATGGCTGCATAAAATTCCATTGTGTAAAGATACCACATTTTGTTAATCCATTCGTCAGTGGTGGGGCATCTTGGCTGTTTCCATAACTTGGCTATTGTGAATAGTGCCGCAATAAACATGGGTGTGCAGGTGCCTCTGGAGTAACCTGTGTCACAGTCTTTTGGGTATATCCCAACTTTGAGATTTTATTTGAACATAAATCCTAAAATTCATAAGACACTATTGACTCAATATGGCAAAGTAAAAATGTTAAGTTATTTCATAAGAGTATTCTAAAGTAATTGAAAGAAAATATTTCCTGGAAAAGTCTTTTATATCTGTTGTTGGATACTTTCTTGTGTTTTACAGCATTGTGCTTCTTAGGGTATTAACATTTAGCTCCATCATGTTCAGAAATGTTTCCATATCTATTGTGGTTAATTATGACTCTTATGCCACACATTGGCTTTTAGAATTGAGAAACTGCACTATAATCTAGGTGTAGTATTGGGCGGATTGGTAATACCTGCCATAGTGGAAGAAATGCTTGCACAGGAAAACTTGAGATTTTAGAATATGGTTCTAGATTCTCATCATTGGATATCTACACTTCATTCAAGAGAGAATAAAAGTATATGCACTTAAAATTGAATGTTCTCCTTCTGTATTTGTAAAAACAGAAGGTTTCTAAAAGAGATACAATGTTCATGATATTTAATTCTTGTAGCCCCAGATTATGTTGTATTACATGGTGTATATAGCCTTTGTTGCTGGTGTTTTCTTTTTTCCGGTAATGTGTTTTGAATTTGTAAAGCATACAAAAATGCCATCTAGGAAGCAATAATTTTCACATTGGCATATGAGTGGTACAAATATCTGTTAATTTCACAAAATATGTTTATTTTTAATATAAATGAGTGCTAAAATTTTCTTAGTACAGAATCTAGTTGCTGTTCAGGCAAAGGCTAATATTTGAATATTTTCAAAACAACAAATTGGCTAAACAGATACTGTCTAGAACAATAAGGATATGTGAGGTATTACTTAAAACACCTTAAAAATCTCAAAGTATTACAAAAATGTTACTTGTTCAAATGATTGCCTGATTTGTAAACGAGGACCAAGTGAGGAATGAATTGATTGACTTAGGTATATTTCCTTATTTGTTAACCAGTCAACATTGGTAAAGCAGAAAGTTCAACACATACAAAGAACAAATGAAATTTTGTAGACGTGAAATTTGTGTAACTTCTCCATAAATGAATTTCTTTCACTTCTCTTCTGTAGATCCTCAGTTTTAAAGAGAGAGAAGTTTGAAAAACTATGTTTTATTGGGTTAGAATACTATAATTCTACTGCAAATAAAATATCTTTTAAACAGGACAAGTGAATTAATGTATGATGTTCTTGATGAATCCTTACGAAGAGCCGAGTTAAATCACAATGTCACTTATGGTAGGTAACATGTGCATGCTATTGTAATGACTAATGGTGTTTTTCAGTATTGTAGCTAAATCTATGGCCTTTAAAATTTATTAGCATATAATAGTTGTACAGGGGGATATTGTGACATTTATATATGTGCTTATGATATGTCTCAATTATATTCACCCTCTCCATAAATCTATGCTAGAATACTGTAAATTCTAGTAGAATTTTATGCATTAATTTTTAGGTGGTTCTTTGGGTTAATGTAAACACTACATAATAATAGTAATAATTGAAATTATGGCATTTTCTAATTCTGACTTAAATTCATTCTTATAATTATCTCTTTTGAAAACATTTGTCAAGTATCAAATTGACTGGAAAGGTAACTCAAGCCTGTTGGTTATTTTGAAAAAATTTTTTTGCAGATTTTGTAAAATTTTACATTTGAAGACAGTTTTTAAATAAATCTATTAGTCAAGTGTTTATTAAATTTCTTTTATCTGTCAGGTCTTATGCAAGGTGCTTGGAATACAGCTGTGAATAAAACAGAATCATGGGGCTTACAGACTAGATAGAGCAGAAGGAACAGGTATTGTCAAGGAGATTTTTGGGCAGAGCACTGACAAAATGAGAGCAATTTTAGTGAACTAGAAAATCAGAATTACATAAAATGGAGTATAGTATAAAGCACAAAACCATGGAAAATAAGTACTTTTCCCTTGTCTCTTCCCCTGCAAACTTCATTTAAAAAACCTGGATACTTACTATATATAAAAAACATGACTCAGGATGGTGGAAAAAAGGGATCTGGCTGGTTAGGGACCTTGGGACACAAGGGATGACATGGTAACAAATACCCTGTGTTTTCTTTTTGCCTATATACCTTGAATGGGTACTAGAGAGCCAGCAATCTGGAAATGCCAACAGGCATCTTTAACCAAAGAACTAAGAAGTGCAAACTAGCAAGATGGAAAACTTTTAGACAATAACCCCTCTATTCCAGCCAAGTACAACACAGAAAAAAGTGCTGATCTGCCTTGATCAGCAAAGGCCATGTGGAAAGCCAAGCTTTCCTTTCTCACCAGGTGTCATTTGGTGACCCTACTCATCATACCTCCAACTAGAGGGTAGAGGTAGAGATGCCCAGAAGAGAAGCTGGAATTTTATCCCTTCCCGTAGATAAGGGAGATCCTACTCCTCTGCAGTATCTGAGGAGGTCTGTGGAAGGTTGGATTTCACACCTGCCTGGGAGTAGAGAGTAATGAGGTACCCTTCCTCTCTTTGATGGGGTAGGGTTAGAGGAGGCCTAGTGGAGAGTCAGGCCAGTGTCAACAGAGGCCGCACAGGAAACAGTAATGAGGTAGTATCACTTCCCTTCCATAGATTCACCCAGCAGTGAGCAAGAGACCCTCCCTCTCCAAGTGTCAAAGGTGGCAGAGTAGAAAACCCAGATTTCAGACTTCTACCCCCAATTGGGCAGTCCCTTCCTCTCCTCTGTCAGAACTTATAAAGTGAAGGTAAAGTGCAGTCTGAAGGAGAAAGTGTCAAAAGAACTTCTAGTTTTGTTTGAGTGCAATCTTTCTTAAAATATCAATGATGAAAATAGTGTCATGAATGTTAAAACATTATTAATTTTTCATTTAGTAGTGCAATCTTTCTTAAAATATCAATGATGAAAATAGTGTCATGAATGTTAAAACATTATTAATTTTTCATTTAGTATTTTATACTTGGTATTTGGATTAGGATCAGGGTTGCTACTGAAGACTACAAAGTTCTATATATATCTACACATATATATATATTTTTTTAGAAATCCTCAGAAGTACTTTCATTTTAACCAGTCTAAATATAAAAGCTTAGATTTTTAGATGGGTACTGACAAGCTTTTGTTAGCAAAACAAATTTGATGCCAGGAGAGTTCAGAATGGCAGAAGACTAGGAGAAAAATATGTCAGTTATGATGGAGAATGGAGCATTGTCATCTCAATTTTTAAGCTGTCGTAGTTTCGAATGGTGGGGCAGGATAGTAGACATTTTAGGCTTTGTAGGTCACGTAGGTTTCTGTTGCATGTTCTCTTTCTGTTTTTTTTTTTTTTACAGTCTTTTAAATATATAAAAATTATTCTTAGTCCATAGGTTTGCAAAGGCTGGATTGAGGTAATTTACCCATTCCTGCCATAGCTAGTTAGTAGCTCTTTATTTAGTTTGTTTAGTCACAAAATCAGAAAGTCACCGATTTTCATGGTAGAAAGTAAAGATACTTTATGACGTATTACTTGGATGTATGTTTAATATCTTTAAGTTCATTTAACTATGTAGTATTTATATGAAAATCAGCTCCCTTCTTAAATAGTATTTCAGGTTCTGATTTATTTTTCCTCTGTACTGGCAGAGGTTATTTAATTTCTTCTCTACAAAATTTATCTGCATTAATTGATGGGCATAATGTAAATGTAGCTAGTTGGATAATTCAGGATATATCTTCTACAAAATGAAAGTGTCTGGTTACTATGTTTTAAGCTTTTGGAAATAGAGAAGGAGTGAGATTCTGTCCATACTCAACATGCTTCACCTGGTAAGGCAATTTAAAAAAAAATTAAAAATTTATTAGTATATAGTAGTTGTACAGGGGGTGGATACACTGTGACATTAACATGTATTTATGATATAATATAATTAGATTTACCCCCTCCATCATTCTCCTTCATCCCCTCTCCCTCTTTCTTAGAACAATTTCATTGTTCTATTTTCATACATGAATACAAAGTGCATCCTCCATATTCGCCTTCCTTCTCCCTCTCCTTTTGACACTCCCCGCACTGGTTCCCACCCCCTGACAGGATCTGTTTAGCCTTCCTGTCCTTCATTTTTTAAGTGTATATTGATTGTTCAAGGGGGTTTTGCTTTTGAATTTCAGACATGTATATGTCATGCTTTAATCAGATTAACCCTCTGTTACTTACTCTTTATCACTCTGCACCCCTGTTATTCAACAGCTTACAGTGCATTGAGTTATGCTATCTTCACACACAGATGCAGTGTGTTTCAGTATTATTCACTGTCATTCTCTTTCCCTCTCCTGCCTCCCTATAGCCTCCTCAGACAGGCCCACTAGTACAGTCATCTCTTATCCCCTCCTCTCCCCTCTTCCTCTTCCTCTCTCTCTCTTTCTTTCTCTCTCTTTCTCTTTTTCTTTCTCCTCCTCTTCCCCTCCTCCCTCTCTCCATATAGTATATACCTATATGTATGTAAGATCATATATGTGTTTATATATATAACATTTGGGTTTTTTGAGACATGGTCTTGCCATGTAGCCCAGGCTGGCCTCTAACTTGCAGTCCTCCTGCATCCACCTCCTGGTGCTGGATCACAGTCTGCACCACATTGCTAAGCCCATAGAACTTTTTTTTTTTGTTTTTAAGTTTGCTTGTTTTGTGCCTTCACTGTGTCTTCACATATAGCACTTAAGATATTTCGAAGATTCTTCCTTATTATGGCAAAGCTCCAGCTCCTTATGTTCTTTTAAAGAATTTGAAAATAAAATTTGTGCTCACTTTAATCATTTTATTTATCAGGCTTTTGACTGTATCAGAATATCAAATGTGAACACTTAGATGTACAGTAGACTGTTCTGAATATTAGAGGTTAAATTTAAAGACGTAGTTTGAAGATTTTTGAATAGTGACCCTATCTTTGAAATGTGTTAGAGCATCCTAAAGTGATTATATTGAAATAAACTACATATGTAATTTCTGTGTATAAATGGTAGAAAGTACTTGAAAATAAAGTATTTTAAAACTTTCAAGGAGTGTTGGAAAGATCTAGGAACAATGAATATATTGTGTATGTGTCCCATTAGAATGTGAGCTCCTTGAGGATAGGCTTTTTTTGTGTTTTGTTCACTGCTGTATCCATAGTACTAATGTCATGTCTGGCACATTTGAGGTGTTCAGTGAATACCTGTTGCAGGGATGAATGCACTCCTATCTACTAGTAATACACTTTTCTTTAAATTATACTGTGATAACTTAATCCTAGTAACTGTCTAATTCTAAGGTAGTAAAGGTTGTTTATTTGAAAATTTTCCATAAATAAGATTTTGACTAAACCTGATCTTCCAATTAGTTTATCATAAGTTTTATACAAATATGTTTTTTATTGTGTCTTAATATACCCACCATTTTTATGTTTTCTTCTTCAGCTATTCTGTTTGAATGTGTACATACAGTCTATTCTATTTATCCTAAATCAGAATTACTTGAGAAGGCTGCCAAATGCATTGGAAAATTTGTTCTGTCATCTAAAATAAATCTCAAATATTTAGGTAAGATTATTGGCTCTTTGGGTGGAAATTATATAGAGAGCTTTTGAAATTTGATGGACATTTGTTTTAAATCATTTCACGTAATGTAATCTTTGTTTCTAGGCCTGAAAGCTCTTACCTATGTTATCCAACAAGATCCTACTCTGGCTCTTCAACACCAGATGACAATAATTGAGTGCTTAGACCATCCTGATCCCATTATTAAAAGAGAGGTAAACTAGTATTTTGAATAGTGTACATAAAATGCTAAAACTTTAAAACTTTTTGTGGGTACTCTGGAGAGAGATTAGAGTAGTGGGCATCGTATGTATTTTAATCAATGGCCATAGGAATTTTTTTGTTTGTTTGTTTTGAGACAGGGTCTTGCTTTGTAGTGAAGCTGACCTTGAACTTAAGATTCTCCTGTCTCAGTCTCCTCAGTGCTAGGATAATAGGCATGTACCACCACCAGGAATGTTTTAAAATTATGATTTGGAGAGGTTAGATCTAGTTGCCTATATATGAGTTCACATGCATCTTTTTGGCCTAAGCATTTTATCAATAGGGACCTGATCTAGTCCTAGCTCTTTTTGTTTGTTTAAGGTACAGTCCTATAGATAAGATACAATTTATGAGAGCTGATATTTTTCTATTACTCTCTTTTATATTTGTAAAATAAATTCACTGTTAGATAGGAATATTGAAAGAGTTAATGAAGGTTATACATAAAATGATTTGAACTTCTTGGAAGAGAAAGTCTAATCATGTACAGTAAGCCTGCCACCAAGTGCAGTCGAAAAATTATAAATAAAAAGCCAAAAGAAATTTCAAAACCAAAAAATTTAAATTCTGTGCACATGTATTATTCAGTTCAGTGGGTGCAGAGAAGCTCTTAGTCCCATGCTATTGTCATTTGTGTTTAAATAATTGTTTGATCTGGTGAGTGTTCCCTGACCTTAATTTTGTGCAAATGTGTACTTCCAAAAAGCAAGTGGTGCCCCAAAAGTAAGGTAAAAGTTTTGGTAATCTTCCTAAGCCAAAAAGAGCATGTAATATGCTTAATTTAAGTGATAAGTGAACATTTTAGATTAGTTGAAAGGTGGTAAGTCTTTAGTGGAAGTTGGGCAGTATTATGAGGAAAACGAATCACACTGCAGTACAGTATCAAGCTGTATGTATCCTGAGCATTCATGAGTTTTCCTCCATAGCACCCTCCTTGGAACCATATACTAACAAGGTTCTATATTTTGTTTTGTTTCAATATTTTTCTTTGGTAAAATTGCTTCAGTATCCATTTGGATGTCTATATAAATATTTCTATTGATTATCCTAGAGAAATCCACTTTATACCTTCATTTAAAATGGTATATGGGACTAAAATTCTTTTTCTCTTCTCATCTTTCTCTCTCTCTCTCTGTCTTTCTCTCTCTCTTTCTCTTTTCTTTTCGGTTGTGCTAGGATTAAAATTGAATTTAGGGTGTAGCACTTGCCTTCCACTTGAGGCACACTTCTATTTCTTTTGCTTTTACGTTGTTTTTCAGATGGGGACTCAACTTTTGCCTGGGTTGGCCTCAAACTGCAATCCTTCTACCTTTGCCGTCCCTGTAGTTTGGGATTATAGCCACACACCACCATGCCTGGCTAAAAATTTATATTTCTGATTTGTAAAGCTAATAAAGATAAGAAGAGTGAATAATAAATACCGAAATATCTTAAAAGCAAGGAAGTAAAAGTAGGAGAGCTTAGGCAAATCCTGTATTACAGTTAATAATTGTAATTTTTTAAAGCTCATGAATTTTGAATTTTAAAAGACCTTTTTGAAATAAAAATATCATTGCAAAATTTGTCTTTGTATACATGTATATATTCATATTTTTAATCGTCTGAAAATTGTCACCTGCCACCTGCCTTGAATGAGCCTGGGAAGTTTGCAGGTGTATAAATTTCTGTATGTAGGCATTGTAGAAAAACAAGAAGGCTCTGAGGTCAGTAAAAACTAATTTATACAGTCTTCCACTTTACCAGATACAGAGCATTACCATTCTTTTTTTTCAGTTGACTATCAGGGTAAGTTGAACCTAGTTAACTTAAGTATAGTTTTCTTATTGCTATTTGTAATTACTGAACTCTCATGTGGAAATGAGAGTCTGGAAATAGGCATCTTGAAAAATATCAAGTTTGCTCTGTTTTTATTCATTGCTTGCAATGAGAAAAGTAGTTTGAATTCTTTGGGGAAACTGCTTGAGTATCAGTAGTACCCACAGAAGGTACTATTGTACTGTCTTCAGAATGCCATTGTCACCTTTAACCTCAATTAGGGTTACATGCAAGGACTTTGACGTGTTGCTTGAGGTGGGATTTCCTTACTAATGTAGTTTGGAGCTCACAGAATGCATGTCTGAAACAGCTCCATAAATTCAGACCTATTGATGGGAGAGACTTAGATGTTTAAAGTTTTTGAGTGGAATTAAGCATTAACTAAACAGTTTTTAAAATGGAATATTTCAAAATATATTTGAAACACTGGCTGAAAGAATTAATCAGAGAATCCTAAAGATATTTTTTGTGTGTTGGGGGTATTACAGCATACATTTTATTTTTTTCTGGATTTTTCACTCCTAAAAACTTATTAGCATATTATAGTTGTACCAGGGGTACATTGTGACATTTACAAAAGTGCTTACAATGTATCTTTTTTTTTTTTTTTTTTTCATATGTGCATACAACGTTTGGGTCATTTCTCCCCCCTCCCCTACCCTCCCCCGCCCTTACAGTATATCTTAATTAGATTCACTCCCTTCATCTTTTTCCTTTCTCCTTCTTCCTCCCACAAAGATATTTTGAACATGTTTGACAACTAGATTAGGTGAAATTCTTTTGCAGCTAATATTGTTGATTCTGAAACACCAGTAAATGTTCCTTTCTCAGTACTGCCCTTTGATGCATAACGATTTCTGGGACTATGATATTTTTAGAGCCTTAATCCAGGCCTTGGGAAGCTGGTCAAATGGGAGCTTATTGTGGTTATGAAATTCCCTCACCTTACTTGAGGTAGCGTAGCTTAGCACTTAGAAAATATCTACTCAGTAGTTCTTTTTTGACACTTGAGATTCTGAGTGTAGGTCTTGCTAGATTTTGAAGTGCTTAAGCTACCAACCTTGTTCACCCATTACATATGTTTGCTCTCAACTGCCAAACCCACCCAAGTACTGTTTTCTGTTGTTTGGGTAGTACAGGAAATAGTTTGTAAGACTGGATTTACATACATCCTATAGACAAAACAATGTAAATTTAAGCTGTTACATGTTTAGAAAACATTAAAAATGTTTAAACTTTATAGTTTTTACATGTTTGTCATGTAGAAATGTCAAATCTTTTTTTTGAGAGATATATATTTTATTCAAAGAAAGTTGCAGGAAACTAATTTATTAACAAATTTAACACTACTCATACTTAGGGAATTGTGTAGCTTTCTCAAACCTACTAGATTAAAGTGTTTTAGAAAAAAAATGTGGTCTGTGTTGGCTACATGCAGCTCTGGAGTTTTGTGAATGTGGGAAGGGAAATGACTGTTAGGAGGAAAAGCAGGATGCTCGGTAAGAAATGTCAAATCTTAATTATCTCAATAGAAAATTTTTAGGTTTTGAAATTGATCACAATTTACTTTTGGGCAATAATTTTACTTAAATGTTTTTTTCTTAAAACTTGGATTTTTTGATCACCTATTAACTGATTATCCAGTAGATCTACATAAAAGTAGAGCAATCAGCTGTATTGTAAACTGTTTTATTGGTGTTATCATGCACAGTTTTATAATACTGTTTTTATTTCTCTTTATTAAATAGACTCTGGAACTTCTTTACAGAATTACAAATGCACAGAATGTAACAGTTATTGTACAGAAAATGCTTGAATATTTACATCAGAGCAAAGAAGAGTATATCATTGTCAATTTGGTTGGCAAAATAGCTGAGCTGGCTGAGAAATATCCTTTGCTTCTACCATGTGTCAGAAAATACTGTTATACGGTTACTTTAAAATGATTGCTACAGACATGGTTACTTGCAAGTTGAATTTAGGGACCCAGCAATAACTTGCATTCTTAAATTTCAAGCCTCTTATTATTAAAAAACAGGAATTTGTGTAGGTTCTTGGGGGATGGCTTTTTTCCTGCTTTCTTTCATTCAGTTTGTCAATATTTTGAGTAGTTTCCTTTCTGAGTAAAATCCTTGCCTTGAGGGAGAATGAAGAGTACAAATCAGGATTCTAAAATGCATTCTTTAAGATATTGTTTATACTGGAAATTGTCGCAATAATGTAGTTGGAAACTCCATTTACAGTTTACTATTCACCTTTTTTTAAAGTCTGGGGAACTTTACACAGCATAAAGACAATACCTTTTTTTTTTTTAAAGACATCTGCTCAGTGCTAAGAAAGAATGAATGAATAATGTTAATCAAATTATCTTGGAAATAGCATAAGTATAATTTTGTTCTGGATAGTGCTGTAGTTCTGGCCCAGGAGAATAATAGAATTTTAGAACTGATGAGGAACATACTAGAAAAGACATTAAATAACTTGTTCAAGATGACATAACAACATTTAGCCTTTCTGAAGTGGATATATTTTCAATTGTTTATTTGTCCCTAGTTAGCTAGTTCATTTCTCTAAATTATTTTGTATGTATTTATTTATTGGATGCCCATTATGTGTAAGCCTGATGCCAGATAAAGTTGTGTAAACTTAGTTTATTAAATAAATGTTTATTGAACACCCAAATTATATAAAACTGGAATGTGGAACATTTTATGGCAGAAGTTAAAGATAAAAAATGCCACAGTAGGATGAGTTGGGGGTTATTCTTTTAAAAAGTTGGTGTAGAAAGGATAATTTTAGTAAGTGGCATTTGGAAGTATTCTTGTTCTTAACACTGTGGACACATATGCTCCTGATAATGCATGGTTTATTCAGACAATGAATGCTGTATTTTCAGTGGGAGGAGATGTAATACATCCTGATATTCCCAATAACTTTCTGAGACTGCTAGCAGAAGGTTGGTAAAGATTTTAAAATTAAATGTCTTTTTATTACAGATATTAGGAAATTTAGTGGAAATTAAAATAGTATTTCAATTTCTTTGTAGGTTTTGATGATGAGACAGAAGATCAACAATTAAGAGTCTATGCAGTTCAGTCTTATCTCACTTTACTAGATATGGAAAATGTATTCTATCCACAGAGATTTCTTCAAGTTATGAGTTGGGTAAGCAAAGTGCATTCCATCATAAATTTTTATAAAATCTGGATATTACCATATTTCCTCCAGAAATCATTCATTTCTAGTCAGCTAATTCCTTCAGCTGTCATTTCCCCAGTGGTTACCTTCTATCTTTTAACTGTTTACTTATCTGTTCTTTTTCTACCATCTCACTTGTGTAGGCTTTTAATATAGGTGTTTGTTTAAGTGTGTTTGTGTTTACAGTTTGTTTATTGTATTTATGTGAGTCCATATTTGAATATGTGACTGCTGTGCTATATTAGTTTTCTATTGCTGCATAACAATGCAACCCCAAACTTAGTGGCCTAAAGCAACAGAAATCTATTACCTCACAGTGTCTGTGGGTCAGGAGTTCAGCCATGGCTTAGCTGACTCTCTGCATAGGTTCTCACAGGATTGCAGTTAAGGTGTCAACTAAAGCTTGACTGTGAAGGATCCACTTCTGAGCCTACTAGTGGTCATTGAAACATTCAGTCTCTTGCAGCTGAGTTCCTGTGGCTGAGGTTTCAGTTTCATGCTGTAGGCTGTCCTTAGCTCCTAGAGTCACCCAGTTTCTCACCATGTGGGCCTCCCAACAGTGCCACTTGTTTCATCAGAAGCAGCAAAGAGAGATCAGAGCTTTGCAAGATAAAGGCCACAGTTTCATGTAATATAATCACATATAATTGCATACATCCTGTATCATCTTATGCACTTCTGTGTGTTTTCTTTTTGGTTGGTTGGTTTGTTTTCAGCGGTATGGGGATTTTGAACTCTGGGGCCTTGTACTCGCTAGGCAAGTGCTCAAGTGTAAACTGCTCCCCAGTTCTTTTTCTTTAGTTTGTTTTTCAGATAGAGCCTTTACTTGAGACTGGTCTCTATAATCCTCTTACCTATGCATTCTGCATAGGAGGAAGCATAGGTAGGAGCTGTGTGCTATGGGCCATACCCAGTTTGTTCTTTGAGATAGTCTTTCTGATTTTTTTGCCCAGGCTGGCCTCACACCATGATCCTCTAATCTTTGCCTCCCGTGTGTGAGTGTTTCTTTAGGTGGGATTTAGAGAAGAACAATTGCTGGGTTATAGGATACACACCCTTTAATGTTTTATTATATTGTTGAAATGTTAGCATGGTAACTTAATTTTCCTCAGACTTCATTAAATTGTTTTTTCTCTTTTCACCTCAACAGGAAAGTTAGACAACTTTTCATTTAGCTTCCCAGTTAACATCTTAACTACACTTGCTTTGCTTTATCTGCATCTTTGCTAGCTTTACTAGCTCTGCCTATATGCAGTGCACTTGATGAGCCATTTACAGTTGAGTTGCAGACATTATGGCACTTCACCCTAAAAAAATAATATGAATCTCTTTAAGAATGACACTGTCTAGGTAAAACCATTATCATACCTAAGAAATACAACATTAGTTCATCAGTACCACCTATTCAGATTTATCCTCTTGTCCCCCAAAATGTCCCTTATGGCTGTTTTTTTCTCCTTCCTACAGATAATGCACTTATTCTTCCTTAGGTCCCAAGGTCTTTAGCAGTCTGCCTTCTTTTTTCCACCTTTCAGACTTTTTAAAAATGTATGTTTTACATAGAATGGTAAGGGCTCTTACTGGGAAGAGTGGGGGGAAAACAGACCTACTCTGTCTTCCCAGAAGCAAAAGTCAATTAACCATTAATTTAAACAAACTGGAATTCAGGTTATCTGCTTTGCTGGATCTACTTTCCATCTTTTATTAAAATTATATGTATTTTTTTCTTTTGAAACAGGGTCTAACTGTTGCCTAGGCTAACGTCAAACTCCTGGGCTCAACTGATCCTCCTGCATTGGCTTTGTAGGTAGCTGTGACTACAGGCACATGCCACCATGTTGAGCTAATTATTGTACTATTAAAGGAGTGAATTCATTTAACCCTATTTCTTTTTCCTAATGTCCTTTTTAGTAGCTATAAATTTTCCATTTCCTATCAACCCATCTCTCTTTTCTTGGTGTTGCCAATATTACATTAAAGACATAAAGATACACTATAAATACTATTTAGGAAAAATCTTACACTCGTTGAGTCATTATTTATAAAATGATAGTTTTATCATTTGTAAAATGATTCTTAAAACAATCAAATTGTATGACACTTGAGTAAGTTTAATGTTAAGAGAAAGTATATGTAACATAGATCAGTGTTCCTCAAAGTCTATTCTTTGGACCATCTGTATCAGAATCAATTGATATTTGTCCAAGGTATATATCCTCGATAGAGACTAGAAATTTGTATTTTATGAAATACCAGAAATCTGAATTTTATGAACTCTTATGTATACTAGCATGAGAGACCCACTTGTTTAAATTCTTACTAGGAAATAGTAACAGAATGTGAAAGTATTATAAAAATCAGCAACTAACTCTGGATTCAGAGGAAAGCTAGCTTGTAAAGGTATTCTATATTATTAACAGTAAAGATGTAGAAAATGTTTTTGTATTGAGTATAGAAATTGTGGTATAATTTTGGACTTAAAATCTACAATTGTTTCTTAAGTACTTTCTTCACCATGAGAGTATGTTTAATGTAGATTAAATTCACTATTAGCAGTAGGCACTTTGTTTAGGGCCCTGAGTATAGTTTACTGTATAACTTGATAGTTACGTGTACAACATCTCTGTTTTGCTCATAGGTGTTAGGAGAGTATTCCTACCTTTTACATAAAGAAGCACCAGAGGAAGTCATAACGAGGCTCTACAAGTTACTTATGAATGACTCCATTTCTTCAGAAACAAAGGCTTGGTTAATTGCTGCTGTGACTAAATTGACACCCCAAGCACATTCTTCTAACATAGTGGAGAGATTAATCCAGGAATTTACTGTATCTTTGAATACTTGTATGAGACAGCATGCATTTGAATTAAAACATTTGCATGAGAATGTAGAGGCTATGAAGAGCTTGTTTCCAGTTGATAAGAGTTGTGAAGACATGGTGGTAAGACATCTGTGTTCCATCTTTTTAAAATTGTGTTGTTGTCTAAGCATAGAGTGCATTATGCATTTGTGATGTGTAAGGAATATATGAAACTACAGTTTCTATAGCATTTACACTGAAGGCTGTAGTTTTTCTCACATTAGTGGAAGAGAGAATTTGAGAGCTTTCATTTTGTACTGATCAAATAGTCAGAAACAGAGGAGTATCTTTTCTGGGAAACAGCAGTAGACATTTATATCCTGTGACACTCTCCTTTAATACATAATAATTTGGAAACTTGTTTTCAACTTCTTTGAAATTCTATAAGTCATTTTATTCATATTCTGCTTTCTTTGAGAATAAATCTCAATTTAATTTTGTCTATCTACTATCTAAATTTTTTTATTGCTTTAGTTAGAATTTCATCACCTTCCTTTACTTTGCCTACTTTCAGCCACTGCCCCTTTGAACCTAAAGTTGTCAGTTACTACTTATATCAGCCTCTCCCATCAGTTTGGTGTGAATTAGAAAACTCCCCAAAAGAAGCCAAATTAGTTAAAAAAATTTTTTTTGAAAGGTACTTGTGTTTGAACTCAGGGCTTCATACTTGCTAGTGACGCACTCTGTCATTTAAGCCACACCGCCAGCTCTTTTGGCTCTTATTATTCTGGCGATAGTCTGCTTTTTGCATAAGCTGGCCTGAACCACCTGGACTGTGATCCTCCTATTTTAAGCTTCCGTTGTTACTGTGATAACAGCTGCATACCACAATCAAGCTTTTTTTTTTTCTTTTGAGATGGGGTCTCACAAACTTTTTTGCCTGGTCTGGCCTGGAATGATCATCCTGATCTCAGCCTCCCAAGTAGCTAGGATTACAAGTTTAAGCCAATGGCACCTTGATTTTCAGATTTTTGTGAGTTAGATGTCATATAGTTGAAAAAGAGAAGAGGATGGACAATATTTCCACCAATTTTGACTTAGGTTTTTATGTCTTGTACTCATTTTGAATATTTGTTCATTGGTTCTTTCAAAAGCTCCTCAGAGGTGAGGCCTTGTATTAGTGTTTAGTAGGTATTCTATGTTAGGAAAAACACTGCTCTCAAAGAAAGCTCACGAGAAAACTCACGTCCATAGAGCAAAGTTTAATGGCAGGCCCAAACTGCCAGGCTGGCCGGGGAAAAGATGGCGCAGCCCCGAGCCTGGGCGAGCAGTGGCTTTTATAGAAGGGGGAGGGTAGGAAGTTAGTACAGGTACAGTAGTCTCTGGTAGGGATGGGGCTGTCTTAGAGCATGGGAATTTGTTTAAGGGTGGGGCTGCCATTTTGGCTGATTTACAAAATGGCGACATTATTGTTCTATCATTCCAGATATGTTCATTAAAATGATTGGTAAATATGCTGTACTCAGTATTACGACAGGAGGTAGCCACACTTCCCTTTTCCCCCAATAAAAGATACTGATAGTGACATGGCCCCATCTCTTAAGAATCTTACTAAATGAAGCTAAACCTTTCCAGGTTTAGTGTGTGAGGTGGCACTTGCATGTTAGAGAATTATCTGCTGTTCTAAATTATCTGAGCTGCTTACATACAGCTGGCTAAATCAAACAAGCAGATCTGTGGAGAAGCAAAAATCTGTGGTTGCTGAGGTCGTCTCTGCTATATTCTCTTAGGCACGTATCATTTTTTCTCTCCTTTTCCCTTTACTCTTTCATCTTTTTATTTAGTTATTTTTTTGTGTTTTCTATTTCCCTGAAATTAAACAATTCTTTATAGGCTAGTGTAGAAACATTTTCATATAGAAGGGAAAAGGATAATTAAAGGCACTGAGGAAGGCTGAATAAAGGCCACCCAAAGATGTCCATGTTACTCCATGGAAATTGGGCATGTGTTACCTTAAGCGTGAAAATGTTGTAAATGTAATGAAGTTAAATATTTTGTGATAGAGAGGTTATTCTGGGTTGTCTAGGTCATCATGATATATATGAACACAAAGATCAGACAGAGGCAAAGTAACAATAGGAGCAAACATTGGAAAATTTGGCATAACCAAGGAATGCAGGCATCTCTAGCAGCCGAAAAGACAAGGAATGGATTCTCCACTGCAAAAGACACTAGATCTGCCAACACCTTGATTTTAGCCCCCAGCGGTGGTTGCTCTGCCTTGTAGTATGTATGTCAGTCTCTTCAGGGAAGTTATAGGTTCTTGAGGGTAGACACTGTGTCTTCCCTGTCTCAATCATAGCACTTGATAGGATTCCTTAACATATTAGATGCTCAGAAGTATGTTCTGTAATGCAGTGAAATTAACTGCAAATGATTTAGGTGGTTTGATTCTTAACTCTGATCTGATTATTGATGTTTCAGAAAGCTAGAGTTAGGTAGTAATTTTAGAATTGAAGCTTCTGTTTTTCACTTAAATCTTTTTAGAATGTGTGGGCTAAAATTATGTGAATGTACAGTCTACTGTTCAGAGTAAATTTTTTTTTAATTCCTAATTTTTGCTTAATTTTTAAACAGGTAGATGCATCCTTATCTTTTCTGGATGGTTTTGTGGCTGAAGGACTCAGTCGGGGGGCAGCACCTTACAAACCTCCCCACCAACGTCAGGAGGAAAAGCTTTCTCAGGAAAAAGGTAGTTTTCCATTGATTTATAATAAGCTAGATGGTAGGGACATAATTTTTTATGCAGTTGATATTCTAGTCATGTAGGTAAATGATTAAAGTCATTTACTTTCTATTTTCCCTCTTTAAACCTGCTCGCGATTTGTTTACTCTGACTAGGTTTTCAGATACACACAAAAAAAAGCCAACCTTGAAGTATTCCCAAAGCATGTGTAAGTGCCTAGATGTGACCACCACCCTGGTATTTTGAAAGGACTCACTGGAGGGTGAAGTTACGCTGCTGCTCACTGTGCTGGAAGGCTGGCATGTATTTGGGAAAGCTTTAGGCCAAAATCCTGGTTACCGTGCAATCTAGTATTTCTTAAGTGTTTCAGAATACTTTCTCCAAAAAATATCTGAATTTAGGAAGAGCTAAGAAAGGAAAGAGTAACTTTATACTTTAAGAAATACAAACTGTCAGGGAAAGACTCATGTCACGGTTTTGGCAAAGAGAAAGTCATGCTTGGTGTATGGGAAAGATGCAAATGAATAAAGAGAAAACAGTGGATTTTATCTCTGTAGGAGTTCAGGATGTCAATGCTGAAAAGTTTGGTGCTGAAAGATTTTTTTTTTTCTATTCATCATTCAAATGATTTTGTTTTCCAGGCTCTTGTACTAGCCATATTTTGTTATGAGTACAACTGAACAGCTGATGCTAAAATGAGACCAAAAAGTTATAAACACCAGTAATAGGATTGATGCTGTGTTTTTACGGATGTATTTGCTCTTCTGTGCCTTTTTAATTTCTAAACATTTATGTTTTTGTGATAAGAACACTTAACATGAGATCTACCCTCTTTTTTTTTTTTTTTTGGATGGGACTGGGGTTTGAATTCAGGGCTTTGCACTTGCAAAGCGGCACTCTACCACTTGAGCCACTCCTCCAGTCCATTTTGCTGTGGTTATTGTGCAGATGGGATCTCAAGAATTATTTGCCTGAGCTGGCCTTGAACCTTGATCCTCCTAGTCTCAGCATCCCAAGTAGCTAGGATTATAGGTGTAAGCTGCTGGTGCCCAGCTCAGATCTACCTTCTTAATAAATTTTTCAGTGTAAAATACATTATTGGTGTCTTGTAGATAAAATACTGTGCAGCACATCTTTAGTTTTTATTTGTCTTACTTGACTTCAGCCTTATGCCTGTGGTTAGTAACTCCTCATTTTCTCTCCCCACCTTCAGTTGTATGAATTTAACTGTTTTAGATACTCTATATATAAATAGGATTACAGTGTATATGTGTTTTGGGGACTGGCTTATTTTACTTAGTGTAATAGCCTCACATTTCACCAATGTTGTCACACTTTGCAGAATTTCCTTCTTTTTTAAGGTTGAATAGTATACCATTTTATCTGTGTATTTTCTTTTTTTTTTTTTTTTTTGGTGGTACTGAGGTTTGAACTCAGTCTTGTGCTTGCTAGGCAAGCACTTTGCCAATTGAGCCCAGCCCTAAACTACATTTTCTTTATCCATTCATCAGCTGATGGCCACTTAGGTTGTTTTCACATCTTGCCTTTTGTGAATAGTGCTGCAATTAATATGGGAATGCTGGCACAGCTCAAGAGGCTGAGTTCAAGTCTTTTGAATAAACTTCCAGACATGGGATTGTTGGATTATAAAACAGGCCTTTTTTTTAAAGTTTTTTTTTTTTTTTTAAGAATCTCTATACTATTTTCTATAGCAGCGGCACTGTTTTCCATTCATACCTGTGTGCAAGGGTTGGTTTCTCCACATTTCTGCCCACATTTGTTGTTTTTTTTTTTTTCAGCACTAGGGTTTGAACTTAGGGCCTCACGCTTGCTAGGAGGTGCTCTACCACTTGAATCACTCTGCCAGCTCTGTTTTGTGAAGGGTTTTTTTTTTTAAAATAGGGTCTGGTAAACTTTTTGCCTGGGCTGGCTTTGAACCATGATCCTTTTGATCTCTGCCTCCTGATTAGCTGGGATTGTAAATGTGAACCACCAGTGCCGGGCTGTTGTCTCCCTCCACACTCTCATAATAGCTGTCCTGGCAGGTAGGAGGTTCATTGTGGCTTTGATTAGCATTTCCCTGATGACTAGTGACATAAAGCAGTTTTTCATATACCTATTGGCCATTTGTATGTTTTCTTTGGAGAAATGTTTATTCAAGTTCTTAGCCTTTTTTTGAGGCAGGATCTTGCTATATTGCTGAGCAATCTAGTATTGGCTTAGAACTCAGCAGGTAGCCCTAGGTCTGCTTTGAACTCACGATCTCCTTGTCTCAGCCTCTCAAATGCTAGGATCATAGGCATGTACCGTCACACCCAAAATGTCAGCGTATTTTCTAATCAAGCTATGTTTGTTTGGTATTGAATCATAGGAGTTTCTTACATGTTTTGGAGATTAACCTCTTATCAGATACACAGTTTGCAAATGTCTTCCTTTCTGTACCTTTTCACTCTCTTGATTGTTTCCTTTGCTATGCAGAAGCTTTTTAGTCTGATGTATTCCTACTTGTTTGTTTTTGTTTTTGTTGGCCATACTTTTGATAATACCCCTGAAATCATTGCAAAGGCCAGTGTCTTGACACTTTTCCCCTATGTTTTTGCACTAAAGTCTTTGTTCCATTTTGAGTTGACTTTTGTATATGATGTTAAGATGTGGATATCCAGTTTTCCCACTATGATTTATTAAAGAGTTTATCCATTTTCTGTTTTGTTCATTAGTCCCCCCTTTGTCCATGGGGAAATACATTCCAAGATCCTTAGTGGATGTCTGAGGCTATGAATAGTACCAGCCTCTATATACTGTGTTCTTTCCTATAATTTGTATAACATTGCTATGTAATATCAGAATTAATTTATTCTTACGTATTTGATGCCCTGTTGTCTTTTCTGCATCACTACCCTTTGTGCTTTGGAGCCATTATTAAGTAAAATAAGGATAATTGGAATCCAAGCACTGTTATACCATGAAAGTCAAACTAATAACCTAGACAGCTACTAAATGTCTAATGGTAGAAAGTGTATATAGTGTGGATACACTGATTTACGTCCTGGGTGAGACAGAGGAGGATGGTCCAGGATTTCATCATGTACTAGAATAGCATGCAATTTAAAAATTATGAATTGTTTATTTCTGGAAATTTCCATTTAGTATTTTTGGATCATGGCTGACATGGGTAACTGAAACTGCACACAGCAATACTATGGACAGTGCGGGGGAGTGGTTACTGTATTTTTTTTTTTTCAGTACTGGGGTTTGAACTCAGGGCCTGTACCTTGAGCCACTCTACCAGCCCTTTTTTTGTGATGAGTTTTTTCATGATAGGGTCTTATGAACTATTTGCCCACTCTTGCTTTGAACAGTGATGTTTCTGATCTCTGTATCCTGAGTAGCTGGGATTACAGGCATGAGCTATTGGTGCCCAGTGACTACTGTATTCTTGATACCTTTGTCTAAAATCAGTTGCCCTATATGCATGAATTTATTTCTGGACTCTTATTCTGTTCCATTGGTCTATATGCTTATCCTAGCATTGTATTGTTTTGAGTAATGTAGTTGTGTAATATGGTTTGAAGTCAAGGAGTACGATGTCTCCAGGATTGGGTGTTTTTTTTTTTGCTTGTGTGTTTCCCCACATACTCATATATGGTAGGCAAGTGCTCTACCACTGAACTACATCTCCAGCCCACTTTGTTCTTGTTTCTCAAGATAGATTTAACTATTTGTGGTCTTTTGTGGTTCTTCACTGGTAATTTTACCAAAAATTTAAGGAAGGATTAATATCAGTCCTTCCACATTTCTTTTTTACCAGCATTATCTTGGTACCAAAGCTAGACATAAGACACTACTGTTGTGGCAGTGTAGTCAGAGGAGAAACCAAGTGACACTCGGAGGAGTGGAGAACTCAGATTTTAATTTTACGCTAGCGGGCCCAGGCATGTACCTGTGTCTGAGCCCTGAACAGAGGATTCACAGAATATTTAAAAGGCAGTGCAGGGCATCAGGTTACAAGAAATGTGCTCTCCCATAAAGTAGGGCTAGTAGTTGGTTAGAGACCTAAGGTTTAGATAAGAACAGCAGGGGAGTCCTGCTTTGGAAAGTTTATTTACAAGTGGAGACAAAGAAAGGCAGGAATGGATGCTTATCTCTGCATGGTGCCTTTCATCTGGGTCCTGAACTTTTGCATGTCTCTAATGGGCAATTCCTCACAGCTCTGTCCGAGGTTAGAGTTTTTAATTGACAGTTTCAAGGCTATCTTCTCTTCATTACCCCCTTTGATGCTTTTTCCACTTTTGGACAAGCATCAGCAATAGACGTTAGAAATCTTACAAGGTTTTTTCTTGTCCCAAAGACCTATATTGTGTTACCAGGAGCTGTAACTTTATCATCTCCATTTGCGAGCTAATGAAGTTAGTTATGGCGTTAAGTCACATACCAAACACAAGTGCCAGTAGAAGCATAAGGAGAGGGCCAGATAATGGAATCAGCTGTATTTCTATTTCTATCTGCTTTGCATAAAACAATACTCTGTTTTTAAGAAAAGTCAAAGCCCTCTGGTTTTTTGGGGGGACCACTGATGCTAGAGAGTTCATATGGTCCTGCATGGTCACTATAGACCTAGCCACTTGTTCTGTGTCATTTGTTAGGTCCACAGATAATTGATTATAGTAGGTGACTGAAGAGGCAGTCCCTCCTATGCCTGTTCCTTTTCCAGTCATTATCCCCAGTCCTATTAATAAAGGTATGAATTGGATAGCTCTCTGACTGCACATGAGCCATTAAAGGTGTGTGGGGTGGTCTGACTGTTAGGCACTATGTTTATCTGGGGTGAGGAATGTTAATGTGCAAATGCCCTATAGTGTCTTTGTTCTTGCAACCCAGTTAGGCCTGTCACCTTTCTTTATAGTAAATCATCCCTCTCCTGGTGCATTCAAAGATTGATATGCTGCACACGGGTGACAGATACTGATAAAAGGTGAAGGCATACCTAAGTTTTCCCTGGAAGGAAA